ATAGAATCTGACTTTTTAAGTAGTAAAGACAAGAAGATGCATTCCCTTCATAAATAACAAGCCTTTATTTTTCTCTTCCACCAGTAATAATTATTGTCATTCAAACTACCCATTCTGTTTGTATTTACCTCCATCATTTAAGCAAGTACAATGCATTTAAACTAAAGAGCTTTGTCACCACTCTGATGAAGGACACCAACACAAATGAAGTAATGAATAATGTAACAAAATTAAATCTCTCAACTTGCAAGAATCTACAAGGAGTAATAATAAAATTAAAAGTAAGCACGAACTTGTTTAACATAAAAAAATCCCCTAAATGTGAGTAGGAAACAAAATCATGAGTCGTCCACAGTAAAGAAATGGTTTCACTATGATAAAACAGGGGTACAAGAGAGTCATAAATAAGTGCACAAATTATGCTTATAACGAGCAATTAATCTCAACAATAAAGCTTACAAAATTAATAATCAAAGAGATGAAAATATCCAAGAAAACAGAGCTATTGTGCGAATACTATTAATCACATTACAAATCTCGTTTCAATGATCCAACCATTCAAAATAAAGAACCATACATCTTAAAATGATTGTCAAATTTTTAACCCGATCTAACAACAAATGACTTTGAAAAATAAAGATTTACTGAGACTAATCTAAGTTTATGTAGAAATGAAATTTCTCTCTTCTTCTCTCACAAAAGTATTTGCTCTCTCACTCTAATGACCACTTTCTTTCTTTCTCACTACTAAGGATTGAAATGGGCTAGGCTAAGTTTTTCATAAGTATGTCTTACTTATTTAATAATTTTAAAGTTTAAGTATAGTCTATTACTTGTCATAAGTTTTTTTATTAGGTCTAGTCTGCTCTTTTTAAAAGTCTGATTTGATCTATTAACCTTTTTAATGGGTACTTCATTTTAAAATTTATTAAGTCTTTTTACAAATAAGTTGTTAAATCATATAAATAAGTATGTTTATAAAAGTCATAAAGTTTATATCTAAATAAATCATAAAAAATGGTTTGACACCTTAAATATTTATAATAAAATTATATTTTTATTTATCACTTTTAAACCATATATTTGATTTAAATAAGTAAATCACTGAATAGACTTCAAGAACACTTTTCAACTCTAACGAAAAGGATTAAAATTTTTAATTCAAAATTTTATTTATTTTAAAATTTTATTTATTTAATATAATATTTTATTGTAATTTATATAAAATTATTTAATATTATTATAAATTTTATAAATTTTAAATAGATTATTAAAAAAGTTTACTATATTTTTTTAAGCTCAAGTTCAACTTAATTAATTAATTAAATCTTTTAAAAATTTAAATTAAATTTATTATTTAAATAGATTAAGTTAGACTAAACTTAAAAAAAAATGTAAGCTATAACTGATTTTAGGACAATTGTCTTTATTTCTATAGCTACTTACTACTCTACATGCTTTTCTCCACTTTTATCATTAACATAAAGTCAATTTACTCATTTTAGACTTTTTTCCTCCAAGATTGGAGTCTATTAACTAAGGCATAATTAGCAATTAATAAATTGAAAACTCTTAAAAATTAATTCCCTTAAAAAAATAGAAATAAAAGCAACACAGATATTATTCATGGGCAAAATTATATATTTGTTAACCACATAATAGTCACGATCCAATCGTGCCAGACTTTCTCAAGTTTACATTTTTCTTTTTAAATTTAATAAAATTTTATTTGATATTTTTTTACATTACTTTATTTATCCTGATTTATAAAATTGTATAACAAATTGAGATGGCTTCTATAATTAAGAAAAATATGCACCAGTATATTTTTGTATAATTTTTTTAAAAAAAATAGTATATAAAATTTTGCTAAATCTCAAAAACTGTATGCAGTATTACGATTAAAATAGATTTTTATAATCATAATTAATTAAAACAATACTAACTACATTTAATAAATGATAATTTTAAGTATTATTATTATAATAATAAAATTTTAAAATCATATTCACTTTTTTTAGGTTTTACAAAAAATTCTCAATAATTTTTTTACTGTTTTTGACATTACTGTGATTTTTTAACTCATATAACTACATAAAAAAAATTAAAGAGTTTGCATTGTCCAAAAATGTATGGAGTGTTATGCTATATAAAAAGTACAAATTGGCAATATTACATATACATCTACACTAATTTTTGGAAAAAAAACTCAATATATAAATAAAAATATAATTATCATTATAACAGTTATATAAACTTATAACATATATCTTTATTATTTATTTTTTAAAAAAATATTTAGCAAAAGTAAATTTAAATAAAAATTAAAAAACATATTTAATTTTTTTAAAAAAATTACCTCGTTGTGAAGCACAAACTTAGAGTACCTTTAGTAGTGAAATTCAAATGGGTTCTTAAATTTACTTTATATGGGTAGGACAGTGTCATGTGTTTGAAGAATTTTTTCATATTTTTCCTTTAATACTAGAATTAAAGTAGGGATGACAATGGATAAAGGATCTGATAGGTACCCGCAAAATTTACCCACAACGGGTAGAGTATTTACTATGGATACGAGTATGAGTATGGGTAAATACTGCAAATTTTAATGGAAATGAGTGCGGGTATGAGTATCTAAGTACCCACCTATATATATTAATTGTGATACTTATATAAATTTTGATTTATGCTTGAACTTTGCTCTACAACTATGTATTAAATTTTTTTATTATTATATTACTTATGTAATGTTATATAAAATTAATATAAAAATATATTCAATAATAAAAGTAAACCAAAAAAATTATTTTAATTCATATTTTTAATAGAAAAATTTATTTATTATTTTATATCATTTAACTAGGCTAATATAATTTAATTATTACATAATTGATATGAGATTGACTTTTTTTTTAAAATTATTTATATATGACACATATAAAATATTTTTCACACAAATATTTTTGTTAATAAAATTATATTAATATTTAAATCATAAAGTGAATGATAAATAATAAACATATTGTAAATATTTTATAAATTTTACAATCACCTACTATCACCTTAAGCTTATTATTTATTGATAATATTTAAATTTTATTTTTTATATTTCAATTTAAAATAATATTTTTCTATGCAACATGTATATTACAAGCAACTATAATCTATTAAATTTAAATAATATTATTCTTACCATTTATTTACATTCAAAGAAGTTTTTGAAAAGATATAAAATATAAAAAATATTATTAATTCTTATTTATTAATTTTTTCTTCAGATAAAATAGTATATTTTTTTATTATAAAATTTTACTGTGACCATTTATCTTTTATTCAAATTCTTTCTTTTAAAATTTATATACATTATAAATATTTAATTCATTAAAATAATTTTTCAAAAATTTATATTTTTGACAAAATACTTGTGTAGTACATGAGTTAAAATACTAGTATTAATATATATATATATATATATATATTATTTTAATTAAATCTGTTATTTTTCTTACAATTTCAATTCAAAAGTTTAAAAAAAAAGTGTTATTTGTCAACTTCTTGTTGTTGTTTAGTACTTGAACTTCTTTACCTTAATCCTATTCTCATTCTCAATGTCTGTCTAATTCAAACCTATTGCAGCAATCATGAATCGTTATTCATTAGAGTTAGTTGTCAATTTCGCCACAAGAAGTCACAAAGTAATTTCACATGAGAGGTCACTCATTGTACAGATTTATCTTGTCCTTGCTTTGTTGTTGTCGTTCGGTCGAATCTCACACAAAACAAGGTCATCGCTGACAAATAACTTAAGTGTTTAATTTTGCTTATAGTTTCTAAAAATTTTAGTTTAGAAGGTTGTTATATTAAGATACATTTGACACTTCTAATATTTGAATATTTACTTTCTATCTATGCTTGTACCTTGTTCAACAACTACATATTGAATTTTTGTATTATTATAATACTTATGTGAAGTTATATAAACATATTTTTCTTTGTAAATATTTTTTTCTCAAACAAATACAGTAATAGGTACGAGTATGGGTATGCGGATATCCAAAGAATACAGATATGAGGATTAATATTCATACACACGCGAGTATGAAGCTAAGTACAGATATTTTTTTTTTTTAAATACAGGTATAAGAATAGACACTATAGTATCTTACCCTTTGTCATTGCTAAACTAAAACTTGAGTTCTTGAATTACTTTTTGTAGGTCCTATTAAAATTATTATATTATTTTCAGTTGGAAAAGAATATTTTAAAAAATTATTTTTTTGGAAAATAGTATGATTCTTCTTAGTTCTTGACTAAGCATTATCCCTCAAGAGTAGAGTACTTTTGCTGGTGATTACCAGTAATTTTTATAGAAAAATAATTTTGAATTCAAGAATTATTTTTAAGAATCACTCGTAAAGGTAGTCTTAGGACATTCACTATCAGTGTAAAGGAGTGAAGTATTTAAAATTCTGAAATTACAATTACTTACCTATTGCAGGGAAGTTATTGATTTTATAAAAGAGCCATTTGGTAGAACCCTTACTCTTTTTTTTACATCGTTTTGTTCATTTCTTGGGCGACATTAGCAGTATATTTTTCACTTATTGTATTGTGCGAGGTCTAGTGTCTTTCTGTTCTATTTTTTTATTTAAATTATATATAACCCATCTAATACACAATATATTAAGATGCCTCCTTGATTATAAACATGACTAAAATGTTTCTTAGAAAGTTTGAGCAAGTTAATTTTTTAAGTGAATTAGATCAAATTTTATAATAGTATTAAAGTTTATAAAGTTGAATATTAAGTTGCTAAGTAGTACTCAACACTGCGAGAGGGAACATGTGTACTCTGAAATTCAGATTATTTTTTGTGAAATATAAATGGGCATATTTGAATTACATATAATAAAATGAAATTTGTTGATGTTTTGGAGGAGAGAAAGGGACAGTTGGGAAAGAGGAGGTATTAGCGCGTAATCGTGCTGTCACCCATTAACATAATACATCATATCGTGTCTGCCTCTCTGTCTTCCCATTTCTCTCTCTTTCCATTTCTTTATTTCCATGAAATTGCAAATGCAAATTGGAGTTAAAATCTTCTCATTACTCAAAAACCCAAAACCATAACTCTCGTTCGGAGCTAACAAAGAAACCAAACATCAACAAACAACCAAACCAAAACAAACACTTATCAGCTTAACCCTTTTCTCTCTCTCTCTCTCTCTCTCTCTCTCTCTCTCTCTGCAACTGGATCTACCCACCCTTACACTTTCTTCTCTCAGTTATGGCCAGACAACGATTCTGGGTTTCTTCTTCTCTTCTTGTTCTTCTCACGGCGCTCTCTGTTTCTTCTCTCACTACCACTTTTCTTTCTGGTACTTCTTGCTTCCATGGGAGTTCTGATTTTAATTTTAGAAACGGAAAAAAAAGTTTCTTTTTTATGTTTGGGTTTTTCTCTTTGCAGACAGCATTTTCGATTCTCAAGCGCATACTGGTCGGAACCTTCTTCAGGCTAAAAAAGGTTTCTTCTATTTCTGCTGATGCTTTTCGATCTACCAATTCAATTTATCTACGTCCTCTATTTTTGTTATTATTATTGTTGTGAATTTTCTGTTTTAATCATTCTTTTATCGAAGAAAATAAAGTTCATTAGCAGTAAGTAAAGCGATAGTGCGAGGAAGAAGGCTGAGAATATTTCTGTTTTTATTTCATATTTATAAGACTAGAAAACTTGTGGGTATTAATGTCTAGTTTTTTTTTTTTTTTTTTCTGTTTTGAGAAAATAAAAACAATGAAAATGTGTTTGATTTATGTATCTAGAAAAATTGTAAAACAATGACCCATGATGGTCCCATGAACCATCATCATCATCACTAAAACACCATCAACCATCATCCTCCAACACATAACCTCAGGTCCCTCACCATCACCTTGTGAACCGCCACCCAAAAGGACTGCCCAGAGTTGACAGAATGTTGGTTGAAGGGGAAGAAAGGTGAAGAAAACTGTAAATATCGATGAAAGGAAGTAAAAAGGAAAAAACAATGAATCAGTTGAGGAGCACCTGCCTTTCTTTGAAGCATGTACTGAGAGAGCTCACCCATGTTTTTTTCTTCTTATTTAGAAGTATGCCACCGTGTTTGACTGTTTTCATTTTCAAAGTTCTTGAATGAGAACATAGTAAACAGCAATTTTGCGTTCTAATTTAGGTTATTTTACAAAAATATTTTCTAAAAGCCAACCAAACATATTTTCAACTTTGTTTTTATTTTTTCCTGGTCATGAAATTAGAAGATAGGGAAAACAAACAGGCCCTTGGTTTGCCCTGAAAACATCCTTCACCAGAGAAAATGACTAAACTACCATTTTGGTACTTCAAATTATTCATTTGACATCAATTTGATCTTTTAAAGATTGATTTGTGACATCAAATTAGTTGGTTGAATATTTAATGTGCCTTCAAAATGGTCAAAATTGATACTACTTTAAATCTTTGGAAGACTAATTTGACATCACAATTTTTCGGACGATCAAATTGATGATGAGTATTTGTAAGGTGTTGTTTGGGAAGAGAAGTTTTAGAGAGGAGAGGAAGGGAGGGCAAGACTTATATTTTCAATAAATATATTTAAAATTAATATTTTTTTAAAATTAAAGATATAAATTAATATATTTTATAAACTTAATGTTGTGATAATGTATTTGTCATCATAAATGATATATAATTCTTTTAATTTAAAATTAAAAAATATGTCGTCATCTCCCTTTTACTCCAAAAACCTCCCTTCCCAAACATACCCTAAAGAACCAAAATGGTAGCTTGTTTTTTTCTTTAGAAAAAAAATAAGCTATCTTATATTCACATACACCAATTAGCATTAGGAATGGGCTAACGGAGAAGTATGGCTTTGAAATTAGCAATAGTCTTGGAGGAGTTTTGGCAAAAATTTCCTTTATAATTATTATGGGCGAACTATTACCTGTGTTGCTCTGCATCCTGCAGTTTCATCCAGTAAAAGTGATGATATACTTGGGCATTATTTATTAAGAACTAGCAACATAACTTTAAATGTGACTAGATCTTTGTTTTCTTGGTACCATACTCTAGTTATTGTGAAAGTTCTTGCATACATGAAGCATAATACTATGGGAAGAACAAGGCACATTCTTTGTGGATAATAGTTGAAGAATGATGACTACTAGATTAAGTAGTCAATTTTAATCATTATTTTTTAAGTCATCTATATTTACTAGGATTCTTTATTCTACATTTACTACTAAACTTGTGAGTCTAGTTTACTTATATCAGTTATTGATCTATAATGGATTTTTTGTTATGCAGCATGTAGTTTTGCTATGTAATATTTGAACTGGTATATGGATATGTATATGTATATGTATACCAAAAGAGAATTGCTTGCTTATACCATCTTGATCAAATGTACAAAGCAAGTGCCTGATGTGCTGACCAACTATATGTCTTGATTGTACTGTGTTTTCTTTTTATTTAAAGTAGTATCACCTCTGAATCGTGAATTCAAAATGTTCCTTATAGTTATGGTTACGACTTGTGTCTTGGTTTTGTTTGTTAGAGGATGCTGTGGGTAGTGGTTGCTACTTGCTGCTACAGGGACCCTCCTTTCACTGTTTCCATATATATATACCAATTTTGACCCCTTAAAACATTTTATTTCAGTTGGTAGAGATGTGTGACATGAATCAAGAGTGCACATGTTCAAACCGTGCATTTCTCCCTCCCCATTTCTATGAAACCCCTTGTGGTCTTCCCCAAGGCCCACCTCAGTGGTGGGTCCTCTTCTATTGAACCACAGATTATGTACATACACACACAACAATTTGACCAAAGCAAAGTAGTAGTCTAATGATGCTGTTTTTTCCACCTTGCACCTGCAGGTTGTTCTGTGAACTTCGAGTTTTTGAACTACACAATAATCACAAGCCAATGCAAAGGACCCCACTACCCTCCCAAAGAATGTTGTGGGGCATTTAAAGAATTTGCTTGCCCCTACGCCGATGTGTTAAATGATTTAACGAATGATTGTGCCTCAACCATGTTTAGTTACATTAATCTCTACGGAAAATACCCTCCTGGTCTCTTTGCTAGTGAGTGCCACGACAGTAAGGAGGGCCTTGCCTGTCCTGCATTGCCACCATCAGTATCAGCAGATGACACTGCAAATCAAGTTCTACATTGTCCATCTCTAGTGCTGATGCTCACAGCCTGCTTCTTAATCTTATTATTCTGATACTTCTACTTCTATACCGAATTTTCATTCTTTTGTTGCATTTACATTGTTGTATAATCAGAGTGACCATTTTTTATATGTTGTGTGTGAATTACTTTTTGAGTCAGAAAAAAAGGATGTCTGCCTGTAGTTTAAGGAAAGCTCTATTAACCAATTCTGTAATGAAATTACGTTTGCCACAAGTGACTATCTTCTATTAATCAGAGTAAATGCTTATTGAGTAAACCACTTTTTGAGCTTCATTTAGCAGTGTCCATTTTTAAATGACTATCTTATGCTACGATATTGCATGAATAAAAATGCTTCATATCCTATTTCACAAAGATCCGTAAGATATATAGGCTTTGCGTGCAAAATTTGTTGCTTTTCACTGCCCGGGTGCTGTTTACATTGTTGCATAATAACAGTGAAAGCAAAGAAGAATGAGCACTTGTGAATATATTTCTCAGAATCACAATAAACAAGGACCTGCATATAAGGATTTGTACCTAAACCAAACACTGAATTACAGATAAGGTTTAACTTATTTTGAAGTAATGTTTTTTTATTTATAGATTTTTAGAATTTGTAGCTATTATCTTTGAAGGTTTTGTTTGAGAATTTTGAGGAAGAAAAAAACGAGTTTTAAGAGGAGTGAGGAGAGGAGAGGAGAATGGAGGAAGAAAAAGAGAGAACAATAAAGAGGAATGCTAGTAACATTTTTTAATACTCTTTTTTAACACATTTCTAATTATTAGTTAAATTTTTTTAAAAATTATAAAAATCATGTAAGTTTGATATTTTTTACTTCTAAATTAATTTTTCTTTTATATTTTTATAAGTTTTAACAAATTTTAGCTAATAATTAATAATGTGTTAAAAAGAATATGTTAAAGAGTGTATTACTAGTATTTTTTAATAAAAAAAATTATTTCAATTGGAAAAATTTAAAAATATGAACTTTGGATCTCCTTTCCTTTCTTTTTCTTTAAAATTTCTCTCTCAAATAAAGCTTAAAAGAAAGTTATTCGAAAATGTGCACCTATCTTCATTTTTAGATTGTATTACGTTTAAAATGCTTAAAAAATTAGTTTAAAATAATTAAAGCACTAAAATTAGTTTTAATTTGAACTTTTTTCCCACTTGTACTATTATTGTTATGAAAAATCATGTACTATATAAGATTATTTAGCACCCACGGTACTGTGTATGACATGTTTGGATTAGTTTCAAATTATTTCAACACAATAAATTGCAGCTTTTATGTTTTAACATGATCATCAAAATGTTTAAAAGACATACGTAATGTGAAGATATTAAACATCATTCGCAAGCGAAACCATAGCATATTGTCCGTCAGAAATTGCAATACTCAAATCTAAATCGTTGTTTCAATATACTTTTTGCTCCAATACATTAGTGTCACCTTTTCATACCATTGCATCGAAGATGTACTAGTTATTTAGATCAATTATAATTATAATAACGAGCAATTGTATGTGAATTGTGTTTCCATTAAAAATTAATTAATCCCGAGCTTACAAAATGCTATTCACTTTAATCCTTTTTTGGTACAAAACAACATTATAAATTAAAAATTAAAATGAATGACTTTTTTATAAATGAATCACAAAACCTAAGATGCGCCTCGCTTGTACAATTTCGAAAACTAAATTAGAGATTTACAAATTTAAAAAAGGGTTGACATCCTCAACTATAGACGGAAAAAAAAAAATCAAATTCAAAGAGAAAAACAAGTTGTAGAGTAGAACATGATAGAAGTTTATCACATTCTATTAAATGGTGCATCTCACTTCAACATAAAACTAGAACATCCCAAATAATTATTCTAATTACACCAAACACCACACCTTGTGGTTTTGCTCTTCAATTATATTAATTTCTTCACACTCGTGATTTTTCTATTGTATCTTATTATTCTTAACAAGCTGAATGCTTACTATGGTTTATAGGTCTTATTAACAAGGAAATCATTATATTTTTACACACAGGAGCAGCTGCCAATATTCACTTCTTTGTTCCTGCCCCTTTGGAGGAGGGTGCATAATTTGGATAAAATTGTGTACAAAATAATCACCATATGAGGTTGAGTCTAGGCTTCTGACGGAACTGCTTTTTTGTCACACACCAAGGACCAGGAAAGGTGCTCAACTGTAAACAATTCAAAAACTGTTAACCTTGAAGTAGAGATTTTTTTTTATTGTGAAACTAAAACTGGAATAAGATAATTAATGAAAATCAAATGAATCCTTAATTCAATTTAGTTCTGCAGGAAGGTTCAATATTTTGGGCTACATTGACCAAAAAATAGAATGTTCAATGAAGCTCATAAGGAACTTAGTAGAATCACACCCCAAAAGCTAGTCGTTGTAGTTAAGAGAGTTTGAGATTCTTATAAACCCTACAGTAGAATCCCATACTTTCTATGTGGGACTCAAGTCTCATTCATACCTTGCAATTGGAAATGCTACATTGCCCATAAAATAGAATGAGCTTTGAAGCAACTAAATTTGAATATTTATCACAGGTAGTAGAGAACTCACATTGCCAATAATCTTAGCTCCAAACCATGGTGTATCAGCACCGAACGGAGGAGGTATGGCTCTAATTCCATTGGACATGTATGGAGGAAGCAAGGCATAGAGTTCCTTTTCTATCCTTTCTGTACAAGAATGGTCCAAAAAGTAGTAGAATTAGAACCCTATTAGAATGGCTCATCATGCTGTATACTTTCTGAACATGACCATTTGGATTTGATTCTTTGAAGTGACTGTATTGTAGATGATAAAGTGCAATTATAGTTGTTGATAGAAAATCAACAGTTGAGATTTTACCATAGTTTTTCATACATGTGCATATATTTTACACAATCCTCTAAAATGCACCCCATCACTTTAAAGGAGCTAAATCCATAGCTCCATTTCATCTTTCTGCTTTGTTGCAAAGATAGTGTCATGTCAAAAAAAAAAAAAAAAAAAAAGGATATTTACCTGCCAAACCTGGTAAACATGCAGTTCCTCCAGATAAAACTATAGTCTTATACCAATCACTGTCGCCTGCTAATTCAGCAGAATGGCAATGTTCCACACAACGAGCTATGGCCTGGTGCAAACCCATAGCGTGCCTATACCAAGTGCAACATAAGCTTAAACTACCATTCAGGGAAAGAAAAACAAATTAACAGGGAAAAAATATATATTACAAATACATATCATGTCCAGTTAACTTCTGACAAAGATTTTCATGAATGTTACACATTTACTAGCCTGACAGAGGCTAAACACACTCATCCTCCCATATCACGTGTTATCTTCTTTTTATTGTTATTACTAGGCAGGCATATTTACCCATTTTCCCTTTTTCAAATTATATAAAATTTCTTGTGTCGAAGGATAAAAATAGAAAATAGTCAATTATGACATAAGGAGATAAACCTTCACGCCAATAATTCATCTACTGGAAATAGACTAAAATGTATTTATAACAAGAACGTAGATAGGTAAACTCAGAACAAGCCTAATACATGCTCAAGCAGTAAGCAAGCCTAAAATAAGCAGTTGGAGAGCCTACACAATGTCAGAGGTTTGAGCCCACGTAAACTCATCCTTGAAAGGAACAGCCTCAATACACTGAACAGGATAGTCTAAAAATAATCTATTTTCAAATGAGGAAATAATAAAACGCACAATCCTTGCATGGAGCAATATGCTTAATATATGAGAAATTGTGACTTAAGAAAATAACTACTACACTATCACATGTCTAATTCTACCACAACTCCGATTATCCTAATGATTAAACCATGCAGTACAATTTATTATAGTCCTATCCCTATTAAGTAATAATATCATTGATATATTATCGTATCACCATTCTCCACCAATGTTTTCCACCATATCAATTAAATGTTAAATTATGATTTATTCTCATGATTTTGTCACGGATCAACTAAGATGGATTTTATTCAGTTCAACTTAAACTACACAACACTTTATTAAATGTAACTTAAAACAGTACAACTATAGAACTAAACAGAATGAAAGTCCACTCAACATAAACAAGTGATTTAAATTTGTTTTAGGAAAAATTGATAGAAGATGCAATTTTTAGTGCATACTTTAAATATGAAAAAAGAGAGGTCCCTTGTAGAAATATTTGTATATAAATAATTTTCTTTGAACTCAACTAAATGCCTCCAGAAAAAAAACAAGTAAAAAATTACTTGAAAATTGGTAAAATCAACTGAACACAGTTTTTTTTTCCTTCTTTTGTTTTATCTAACATGCCATTAATTATTGAAAATTGATATCAAGTTTGGAAAACAAAACATATAGGTAAAGTCAATTCCTGAGAGTAAATATCAATCAAAGAAGACTTTATCATAGTTTAGATTATGCCCGATATCTGCCTTTTAACAAGACCCCCTCACTCGTGTTTGAGACTTCTATTAGAAAAGAATTGTTTAATTATTATAATTGACAAATTAACCAACAGAATGCACGTGGGGTACACACAAGTTCATTCGGAGGTTTATTTTCAACTTAAATGCACTTTTGTGATCAATTCATCAAATTTGGTGATGATATCACATACTAATTTATGAGTAACCACAATCATGGTAGATTACTTCTATTACTGAAGCAAATATGCATGATCAATCCATCATAACCATGTCACAAGAAATTAAAATAAGAAACATACACTCCAGCAAGATGTGGCTGGAATAAGATCTCTCCTGTCTGAAACCTCTCTTTTGAAAGTGTAAATGATCCTTCTACATCTTCAAATGATGCTTGTGTATCTTTTGATAGCTCAGCTTCATAATCAAGAGCAACATAACATAACTTCTGTACCATGCAACCAACAAGAGATTAAACTTCTTCAGCAATAAGACATTTAAGTAAAAGAAATCTACAAGATGGATACTAATCATTCCCACCACAGTTCACTGAAAAAAGAGAAATAAAAAGGTAAAAGATACCAAAACATATAAAGAAAATTAGAAAAGATAAAATAAGGGATTTTCTCAAACAGTAAAATCTCACATGTACCCTCAAATGAATCTTATTTATGGTATGTATTTACATGTATCATTCACCAAGTAATCTACAGGACGCTAATTTTGAACCACAATAAGAGTCCGCTCCAGATCCTGGTGCTCGTTCATGAAGCTGACACCACCATCTGGTACTTTGTCATGAACAATCTATCCCAATAGGCAATAGCTTAAGCTATTAGGTGAAGACATATGAATGGTTTTATATTATATTTCTAAGATGCCCCTTCATGCAAGTGCCACTTGGGCTTGAAGCATGGATAATACACAAGCCACCTACCTTGAGCTTAAATTAAACTTTTTATTAGAAGAATGGGGGCAGTGACCACTTGGTCATAGAGGCTGTGATATGGAATACCACAGCATGAACCATCTAGCCCAAAAGCTTAAGCTATTAGGTGAAGACACATGAATGGCTCTATAATATAATTTTAACAAGCTCCAGTCCTCTAACCCCAAAGTTTCACGTTTTCATCCCTGGACTCCGAGATTCTCACCCACCTGCTACCACATGTTGCGTATCATCTCACAGGAGGACCATACACACCTCATGCAAAAGCCCTTCAGGCTTGAATCAAGGACAAGATGGACAAGATAGACCCAATTATCTGGTGCTGAAATATAATTTAATTACGAGAATGAAGGCAGCAAGAATTGAACTCCTAACCATTTGGTCATTGAGGCTTTCATACCATCTCAAGAACCAACTCTTCTAATCATTTAAGCTAATAGGTAGAAGCCTCAGAATATTTTATATCCTTGTAGGCTAGATTCTTGGGTAAGTGAAGAAGATGAAGGCTTCTTCAAAATGTCACCACCTGGCTCTGTCCTTCTCACACAATGTCTTGCTGATATAACACCACCTTTGATGACTTATTCAAGAAGGCAGAATCATGGTCTAGACGTGAGTTTGTAATTTATTACATTAGTTCCATTTATTTTCATTTTATTATTTTCTATAGGAGTTTGTTCGTGGTAGATAATGTTAATTCCATTTATTTTGGCTCAGTTATTTTGGATAGGAGTTCGTTACATTGATAAATATCCCCAAGTAGGCTTAGGAAGTAAGAACAAAAAAGATTCAGATTGCTAATTGTAATATTATTGGGAGTTAGTCTGCTGATACCAACACTCAAGTTGGGGATTGTTATATTTGTTCAGATTCTGCATGTTATTTCCATCTTCTCTCTCTCTCTCTCGGCTGTCTTTACTGCTCAATATTTTTGTTATTGGTGTCTAACACTTGCATTGCCAAAAAGTTTGTGTGATTGAAACAATATGCCTCCGGAATTAAAGCCACTGTGTTTACACAGGGAAGAGATTTCATGAGGATGATCACTAATTTCAACAAACACCAACAACAACCCAAAGAATCTATTTCTGTCCAACAAGGCAAAGTCCAACCAAAACCTTTCCCATTATTTTCAGACAGAAGAATCTTCCTCTACCAGAAAGACATGGGAGGCCCTGTCTTCATTGACCAAGTTATTAAATCCTCCCATGTAATGAAGTAACTTAATAACTATTTCTTAAAAACCGATAATATAATTAAATATTGGCATGCTAATACTAGGAATCGGGACATATTGAGCAGATTTTTTGGAGAACAAATACAGAGCAAGAGAGAAAGAAAGGGAAAAGACCAGAATATCATATCCTAGTCAATCCAGTGAACAAGCCTGTCAACAATGTCAAATATTTTAAATTCCAAAATCTAGTCTAACTTAAGGAAACTACAAGAAATAGAAGTAATCAGGTTTTATGTAGGCTATATTTCATAAGCAATGGAGGGTCTGCTACTGTCCTTTTTGGTGTACCATGGCATCACACAGTACTTGATGGACATGAAGGAGTATAATATCCATTTTACAGATATTTCAGACCACCAAGATGAATGTCAATACCTCTTTCAATGTGCGAACAGTATAAAAAGATTGAAAACTTAAGTTATTGAGTTGCATCTTCTCCCTAAGAAATCCTGTAAGTTTCAGTGCGCCCAGTCCCATGACTTCCACACCCACCTTGCGCATTACTTTACCATTTAAAACTGTGAAAAGAAAATGCAGGTCACAATCACAGGAAAAAGTAGAAAATAAAGTCATTTGCTTCAGACATACAAAAAACAATGTATACATTAAAAAAAAGGTGACACTTAAGCAATGAGTACAACTGAATCCCTTTAGACAACAATCTGAGATTCTTTACCCAATAAATTTATTGTTCTGCAAAAATTAAGAATTATGTCAAGACATAGAAGGAGCAAGAGACAAGGATGCAGCAGGGCATACTTGGAACTATAGATGTGACTTCAAAACCTATATTAACAGCTATTCCAGAAGTTCGTTTTGCAGCATAAAGAGCAAGAGTTGCCTACAATTTACACGATAGATAAGTAAAAATGGAAATAACAAGAAATCACAGAAGCACCTGTGATTCATAATGCAAAAGGCATGCACAATTACTATGATTAATAAATTAACAATGTGAAATAGCGGGCTAGAATATGTACTTATTTTTCATCAAGAGACCAAAGGGTACTTATACAGATCCAAAGAGAATGAGCATAGATGTTCTCTTTAGTGAAATTGGTGGATATATAAAGAGAACAGGAGCAGATACATATAAGCCCTTGAAAATAATGTGGTAATAATACTCATTAAATAAGGGCAAGTATTTTCTATGGATTTTTATTTTCCACATTAAAATACATTACCTGGTTGACAGCACAAACAGCAGGAACATTCATGTCAAACAAGGAAGCATAAATTGCTTCTTTAAGCTGTTGTCTTGATGCTTTAGCTGATTCAGTATCTGGAATGAGACAATAGATGAACATGTGCAGACGAAAATCATATATGAAAGAAAAAATATGTATTACTATTATCTAGAATGGACAACATTTCTGGGACTTAGACCAGTGTTCCAAGTCCAGACACAGTCAACTTTCTTGCCCTCAATGATAAGCTAGCATTGTAAGAAGTGTCACATGATCCAAACAATAGGGTTTCAGATTTGACCACTGAACACAGACAACTGGACCCCCAAGGGAGCCTAACAGCCAGAGGAAGGTGGTAAACAAGGGCACATGATAGAGTGAGCTACATGTGTTCACACAATAGGCTGCATGAAGGGCACATGACAAGGCCTTCAGTGACAGAACTCAGAGGGTCCGATCATAGATTTCAGAGACAGCTTGTGCCCTCACCTTAATGGTTGAGGGCATGGATACCAATTATCCAGCCTTGATAATGGCAGATGAAATGATAGACCAGGACAGAACATTCCCAAAAAAATAGTTCCAAATTTTAGGGAACACCAAGGTGAAATTGTGACAGTTCAGGACACAGGATAGTTTCTCTCTGATGCAGAAAAAACTAAAGAACAACCACATACCACAAAGAAATAAAATAAACTTGACAACAGAAGTTAAACTGAAAGTTATTTTAACATTTGTGTTTCAAGTTATTTATGTACTCCTTTTTCCTTTTCTCGTTAGAACAACTTAAGTAAATTATAAAATGTAACTGACCTTCATAATGGCATATTGGTATAGAAACAATAATTGGTTGTTTATTTGGTTTCACCTGCATCCTGCCATGAGAGCAACCAATATTAATATGCATGCAAGAGTATCAAACTGAGTGAACAACATAAAACAATTATGCCTTTACTCATGATAAGGTGAATATTTTTCTTGTGATAATAATTCAGTAATCATTAAAAACACAGCCTTGTCAACAAAGTGATTGCTCTGGTACTATTCATCTATATACGTTATGTACATAGATATGCTAGTTCATAAATGCAATGCAGGGGAGAATGAAGGTTCACTTAAAAGATTATGAAGATCTATAGCTGTTTAACCAGCAAGAAGGCAGAATCAGAATGGCATAATACCTGTTATAAATAGTTGTGAAAAAATGTCGAAGCCTAGTATACATTGGCAACTCAATGTTATTGTTACCAAATTCCTGTCCATCGAAAAGGTGGGAAAAGATGCAGCATAAGTGAAAGGAACTGAAAAAACAGATAATGCATTGCCTGGTATTTGCATAAGCGTTTTCTGAGATTTAAGGCTCTCCTTGCTGAAAGCTAAAATGAGAATAAGGAAAAATGAAAATGTTTAAGCACTGCAAAAACTAGACGACAACAATTTTCAACCTAGTTAACTATTTTCATTATAATTATGTCTCGATTAGTGCTAGCTCCAACCAAAATCATTACCAAAAATGTTGCTGATCGGCCTGATGGACATGCGTATTTGCTCCAACCAAATTTGCAATAGCCAGAACCGCCTTGATAAGCATGGACAAAAAGAAAAGTTTAAAAAAAAAAAAAAAACTAATCACCACAAGTAAGAGAAAGCTAAGTTCACTGAACAAAATTGCAAGGCTAACCATCAATAATAATAGAACCAGGAACTTGTGCTCTCTGGCCATAAATATGCTTGAATGATAGTTGAGGTCTATGGCCAACAAAGGATCTGTAATTTGGGAAACTTAAAACACTCAAAATCACAAAATACCAATCACTTTCATTAGAAGATCCATCAAAGCACAGAACACCAATCACATACACGACCTATCAAATTTAGCACACAATACCAATCACATGCATAACTAGTCAATGCAATCCATAAAATTCACTCGCATCAAAGCACAAAATAACAATCACTCCAACAAAGATATTAAACAGAACAAAGCACGTAACACCAGAAAAGCACATGACCCATCACAGCTAAAACCACCAAGCAACACTAGCACAACCCATAAAAGCACAAAATTTGAATCACTAGTAACATAACCAATCAATCAAAGCACACAACACCAACAACAAAACAGAAAACACCAAACACAAAACAACAAAAAGTTTCAACCACTAGCAGCACAATCCATCAATTTAGATGACAGACTGGCCAAAGCGCAAAATTTTAATCACTAGCACACCAACCACTTGCACCATCCATCAAAACACAAAATTTCAATCATGGGCAGCACAATCCATCAAATTCAATTTCACCCCCCATCAAATTATCTCGCAAGCACAATCAAAACACAAAATTTCAATCCCCGGAAATGTGAGCAAAGGAGAAAGAAGACTAGTACTAGCTAGCACTCACGGAAGAGGGTACCCAGAGCTCAATGCGGTCTCAGCAAAGAAGAGAGAATCCCAAGAGGGTTCAGCTTGGTGGGTCTGAAGAAATTGAATCCAAAGGCGATTATCAAACACAAGGGATCTGAAAGCCTTGCAAACCACACTCAATTTTGCAGCTTCTTTCGGACCCAAAAGCCTCAGAATTTGCATCAAAATGTCAGCGGGTAACTGCTCCAATTCACCCATGTCCGAATGCGTAATTGCTTCTGATGCGTTGGATCTCAACAACGCCAATTCCCACACCTTCCTCACCATCGTCCACATCCTTCACACACCGATCTTTTCTTTCAATCCTGTCCATGCGATCAACCCACTTTTATTTCTATTCTTTCCTACCTTTGCTTTCACTTCTTTTTCTTAATACACCTGTAAATAATTGGATTAAATTATATTTTCAATTATCTTTTTTTTTTATTTCTTTGAATCAAATTTGTTGATTCTTACAATTTTGTAAAATTTTAGTTTTAGTTTTTCTTTTTAGTAAAATGTGGTTACATCAGTTTATTTATTATACTTTTATATTTTGAATATAATAAATATTTTTTTAAAAATTATTATTTTTAAATTTTAAACTCAATTTTAAGAATTGAAGTTAATAAAACTTTAATTTTTATATAATTTTTTATAAACTTTTATATGATAAAAATTTAAGAAACAAATATTTAATTAAACTATTTATCTAAACACACCCTAAATCTTAAAAGATTTTACCAACCCAAAGCTAGTCTCACAACTATATATGCAGAATATCCGATCGAAGATAAGAAAAAGAATTTTAACCAACAATAATTATATAATTTTATATATTTTAATTATAATTAAACTTCTTTATAAGTCAATGTATGTAATTCAATAAATGTTATATGAATTTTATTTAATGGTAAAAACATTTTTATATAATAAAAACTGCAAACTTCCTTCTTTATTCCTTTTTTATTTTTCATAGATTGAATCTTGAAAATTGAAATCGAAATTGTTCGATGGAGAAGGGTAGTTGGGTTTGAAAATTGGAACATTGATCCTGGCGTGGGCGTGTTCTATCCATTAAATAATCATAAGTTTCCATCATTACACGTTTGCAATTTTATTCAACACACTTATTATTATTATTATTCGATCTATCAATATTTTTAAGGGTCCTTTTCTTCCAGAAGTTAACCCTGCTTTTATTCAATTTTCTAATTTAATGCTATTTTTTACATTTTAAAATACTATAATAGCTAAATATATTGTAAGTGCGTAAGTTTGATTTCGTGCAATGTGTTATATATATATTTATTTATTATCTACTACTTTCACTTCTTTATATGGTCTATCAGGTACATCCTTAAAAAAAAAAAAAAAAAAAACTAAAATTTCTCTTCCTTCCCATTTATTATTTTGGTTGCCATATATATAAGCTTAATACAGCAAGAGAAATCTGTAAACGATGCAAATAACAAAATGATGCAATAACAAAATGCTTATGTGGCAAAATAAACTAACAGAAAAGCAAATTCCTATTCTAAATGAGAATCTTCAATTCCTACAACAAATGGGCTTGACAATTATTCTTCTCGGCCTACTGTCAACTTCTGAATTCAAACTATCTTCCACGTTTGTATCTTCTTCTTCTTTTTATCAATACTCCCCTCTGCAAAATCCACCTTGTCCTCATGATGGTAAACAACACAAAGATCATCCCAATTTTCTCAAGTGGAATCTTCTGGAGACAACTCCATCCACTGAACAAGCACCAGGCATGTGGGGGGAGATGTAGATTGATCCCATTTAGATTGTAATATGGCCAGAGGAGTGACCAAAGGATAATAATCAAGGGATAAAGTAGGGAAAGGGTCATTGAGAGCCAGGAGTGGACCCTTGTGCGGTTTAAGAAGAGAACAATGGAAAACTAGATGAATCTTGGAAGTGCTGGGTAAAGCTAACTTATATGCTACAGGCCAATGCATTCAATGATTTGAAAATGACCAAAATAACGCTTTGACAACTTATTGTATTGGCTGCTAGTAGTGGAAATTTAACGATAAGGGCGTAATTTGACATACACCCAATCACCAACAACATAGGAGATGTCACGACGCTTGCGATTAGCTTGGGTTTTCATTTGTAATTGGGCCTTCTCAAGCTTGCGTTTCAGCACAGCCAATAATTCTTGGCATTCTGGCAAAAGTTGGTCCATAACTTCTACTTTGAAAAATCCCAAAAAATAATGCAGGATGGAAGCAGGGAGTTTGCCAAAAATAATCTAAAATGGATAGTATCCAGTGGCAATGTGGACTGATTTGTTATAGGACCATTCTGCAAGAGGAAGGAAACGACTCCATCTTGCAGGATGAGTGTGGACGAAGCTACGAAGATAATGCTCCAATACATGGTTAAGGACTTCTGCCTGCCCATCACTCTCTGGATGATAAGATGTACTCATGCGAAGTTTAGTGCCACAATTTGCTAATAAAAATAGGATCACGGTCAGAAACCAGGCTACGAGGAACACCATGATGCTTGCAGACAAGGTCAAAGAAGAGCTAAGCAACCTTGAAAGCAGTAAAGTGTGTAGGCAACGTACCAAAATGAGCCCCCTTGGAAAAATGATCAACCACCACAAGAATAACAATGTTGCCTGAAAAGGGTGGAAGACCAGTGATGAAGTCTAAAGAAAGATCCTCCCAAATAGCATTTGGAATCGGTAAGGGTTGAAGCAAGCTAGCAGGCAATTTGGTCTCATATTTTGTTTGCTGGCAAGAGTTGCAGTGCGCAACAAACTGCTTAACATCGCGACGCATATCTGGCCAAAAAAAGTTTTCCTGGAGTCATGCAAGCGTTTTAAAAACACTCATGTGACCAGTTAGGGGAGTCTGATGAAACTCCTATAACAAAAGATTTCGGTACGGAGAAGATGAGGGAATCCAAATACGTTCCTTGAAAAAGAGTAACCCCTCATATGAATTCTGAAATTTGCATGTGCATCTGGATGAGACTAGACCTCATGAAGAAGTTGAAGAAATTCATCATTGCTCAACAAAGACTTGTGGAGATCATCTAAGAAGACGAAATGAGGCATAGATAAAATCAAACAAAGGCCAGAATCCTCAGTGAAAGTTCTAGATAAGGCATCTGCCACAACATTATGTCTACTGGCCTAAATTGAATAGTATAATTATAACCCAACAACTTAGAAAGATGAACATGTTGTTCTGGGGTTTGAATAGTTTGAGACATCAGTTGCTTTAAGCTTTTGTGATATGTGAGAATAGTGAAATGATGGCCCAACAAATATTGTCGCCACTTCTTAACTGCAGAGGTGATGGCGTGGAGTTCGCGAACATAAGTAGAAGCACGAAGGAGGCAAGGACAAAAAGGCTTACTAAAATAAGCGATAGGATGACCCTGTTGCATTAAAATAACACCTATAGCAGTGCCTGAAGCATCAATCTCAAGGATAAATGGCAATGAAAACTCAGGAAGAGCCAGGATAGGTGTTTCAGTCATTGCACGTTTAAGAGAGTCAAAAGCAGCTTGAGTTTCTGGGGTCCAATGAAAACTACCAAGCTTAAGGAGAGCATTCAAGGGTCCAACTATAGAAGCATACCCACGAATGAATTGACGATAGAAGCCTGTTAACCCCAAAAATCCACGAAGCTTGCGCATCGAAGAAGGTTTGGGCCAATCTAGCATAGCTTGAATCTTGGAGGGCTCAAGAGCTACTCTAGCATGAGAGACAATATGACCCAGATATTTCAATTGGCGTTGACCAATGAGACATTATGAGCCTCGTAGATAAAATTCACCATCATGAGGGTTTGAAAAACCTATTATAAATGTAGTAAATGGTCCTGCAAGGAACGACTATACACCAAAATATCATCAAAGAAAACAGCAACGAATTTGCAAAGAAATGGAGCAAAAACGGTATTCATGCTTGTTTAAAAAGTAGAGGGTGCATTACATAACCCAAATGGCATGACTCGATACTCGAAATGGCCATGGTGAGTATGAAATGTTGTCTTCTGAATATCATCGAGATTCATACGAATTTGGTGGAATCCTTGACGAAGATCCAATTTGGAGAACCAAGAAGCACCAGCGAGTTCATCCAAAAACTCATCAATAGTTGGAAGCGAAAAACAGTCACGCACAGTGATGGAATTCAAGGCACGAAAATCAATGCACACTCTCCAAGTACCATCCTTCTTTTTAACAAGGAGTACAAGAGAGGAGAAGGGGCTACGACTAGGTTGAATAAAATTGAAACGAAGCATTTCGTCAACTTGTTGTTCAATTTCAGACTTCTGGAAATGGGGGTAGCGGTATGGGTGAACGTTGGTAGGAGCAGCATTGGGAAGTAAATAGATATTGTGCTTGGTGGTATGGTCTGGTGGCAATGTGGTGGGTGTAGAGAATAGATGGGTAAACCGCTGAATGAGGCTAGTCAAGAGTGGGTTTGGATGGGAAGGGACCTCAGAGGAAGGTGAGGTTGATTCAGGAAGAACTTGTATGTGAAAAAAAGCAAAGGCTGAGTTTGTATGAATAAGGCGCTTAACTTGATGGGCTGAAATGTCTAAAGGAAAGGATGGATTATGGGCCTTGAATTCAACTAATGAACCATCACGAAGGAATTTCATAGAGAAGGTATTATAGTCAGTTAACACTAGGCCCAATTCCTTGAGCCATTGGACACCTGACACCACCTTAGCTCCACTAATGGGTAGAACATAAAGATCAACCACAAAAAATTGCCCCTAGATGATGAGGGAGGTAGCATGACAAATAGAATTACAATCAACAACAGTCTCATTACCAATCATAACATGGAGAGGAGGAGTGAGTTGTGTAGTAAGCCCCAAAAATTTAGCAATGCGATCCTGCACAAAGTTATGAGTACTTCCGCTATCTACTAGGATAGTGACTAAATGCTGGGCTAATTGACCCATGAGACGCAGCGCCTCGTGAGAGGAATGACCCGATAAAGCATTGAGGCTAATTTGAGCCTTAGGTGTAGAACTGGAATCCTCTAGAAGAGTAAGGGCAGGATTGAGTGGAGGGGGGTCTATGGACTCGATTAGTTCTTCCTCGGCGAGCAAAAGGAAGAAATGAGCCTTGCAAAAGTGGTTGGGGCTAAATTTTTTGTCGCAGTAATAGCAAAGCCCTTTTTTGCGACGGGTGGCAATTTCGGCCTGAGAGAAATGTTTGTATTTGGTGTTGGGTGGAGCTGGTAAAGATGGCGTTGGAGGGTGAACTGCCGTGGTGGAGGGGAAGCCACCAAAGAAGGGTAAGTTGAAAGGCGAGTGCGAA